CACGAGCTGCAGAGTTTTGGATGATCTGCAGCTTCTGAAGAGAAACGTTTTTTTCAAACAAGTCTTATGTCCTGGCCTCAACCACCCTTCCTGTCAACTTATTGCAGTCATTATTTAACCTCTGGTTGAAGAAATATTTCTTGTTGTCTGTCCTGAAATTGCCCATTACAACTCTAAACCTGTGTCCTCTTATTCTACTGCCTTGTTGCATCCAAAAGTATTCTAGGTTTGCTTTTTCAATGCCATTTAAAATGGTATGCACCTCTATCGGGGCAACTTTGAGACATCTCCTTTCAAGAGCTCAGCGACTCCTGTGGTATGATATCATGGGCACTAATTGTCAATATCATTCATTGAATGGCCTCTTACTGCATTATAGATTTCTATAGATTCAGAAAAGGCAGCTGACTTTTCTTCTCCATAGTTCAGGGCATCTGAGACCAATAGTCGTGTCCTTGGATCCTCGACTGCAATTATTTACCTCAGCACAGACTACAGATTGAACCTGGCATCTTTTGGGCTCACTTTTGCACTGGCCATTTGACTTTACCAACCGAGCCATCAGGGAAGCTCAGTGCTCGATTTGATTGAATGGTTTGCGATTACAATTAAGATAGGAATGAAGTTTCAAATCTCTCATTGCTTCGTTGATGAGTGCAAAAAGGCAAAATAATTAAATTAGAAATTACTTGTGCTTCATTTCAACCTTTGCTAAATTTATATTTATTGAACGACTGTATGAATTTTCCTTTTCAGTGGTCCTCATCTAACACTTCATTAAATTTCATCCATGAAGGTACGTTAAAACAGATGCTATCAGCATCAGTTACAAAGCGTACCTTCCAGGGATGCTGTACTGTAGTAGTGAGACCTCGCAGTCTCAATGAAACTAAATTAATAAGGTAAAAAGTGCTAACTGGCCAATTAATATTTTATTGTGGAGTCCTGTAGCTCAGTGGTTAGAGCACTTGCTTTGCAAGCGAGAGACCTGAGTTCAATTCCAGGCAGGGCGAAACCTTGGGCAAGTTTCCTTACTCCACACGCCTAATAATAATCCCTCCAAAACCAAAAACAATAATAAATTGGTCATTTTCAATCCACGACTGTTTGTGGGACATTGCTGTGCGCAATTGGCTGCCGCATTTGCCCACAAATATACAGTCAATTCACTTTACAGTGTGTTCTGTGAAGCGCTTTGGGACGTCCTCCCGACGTGAAAAGCGCTATATCAAATGCAAGGATTATTATTATTATTATTATTATTATAATAATAAGCCTTTCAGTTGATGTAGCATTATTATATAATTGAAATGTCTCAAACTGCTTCACAGAATATATTGTAAAGTGGATTGACTGCATATTTTGTGGGTGAAACTCGGTAGCCAATTATGGACAGCAATGTCCCCCAATTTTATGATTACCTTGCTTATAATCACTCTGTTTTTCTATTTAATGTGTTTATTTCTTGCTTGATTCTGGTTTGTTTTTGGAAAATTCATTTGATTTATTCCTATCCTCTCATGTTTCAATTGTTGTCAGACAGAGAGAGAACTGCTAGTAGACAAGGTTAGCTTCATATGAAATCATTTAATAAGAAAGCCTCACCAAATATGTTATAAGCAGTGCTGCAGAGTGGAAGAATGTCCCTATGATTGCCTGCATGGATAGTAACTGGTCTTGGCCGTGCCATCAAAGGTATTTCTCAGATATATGTGAAGAGCTTTCTCAATGGGAAGGATGGAAAAAATAAGGAGGGAAAACATCCTGGGTGGCTCACTTGTAGGTGTCTCCTAGTTGCTGGTTCAAGAGCAACATTAATAGGGGCCTCTGGTTAAGACACACAAACACATCTTGTGCTGACAATAGCATATGAAATGTCCTATGGAGGGGTGATCTAAAAAGAAGGGGTGAAATTTGTCACAGTTCGTAGCAGTTTTGATGTGATAATTCCAGAACAAGGGGGCATAATCTTAAAATTAGAGCTAGGCCATTTAGGAGTGAAATTAGGAGGCAGTATTTCCACCCAAAGGGTAGTGGAAATCTGGAACTCTCTCCCCCAAAAGGCTGCGGATGCTGGATCCATTCACATTTTCAAGACTGAGGTGGATAGATATTTGTTAGGACAGGGAATCAAGGGATACGGGGCAAGGGCAGGTAATTGGAGTTAAGGTAGAGATCAGCCATGATTTTATAGAATGTTGGAACAGGCTCAAGTGGCTAAATGGCCTACTCCTGTTCCTTTGTTTCTAATAACTACAGAAATAACATATACATTATAAAATATGCATACTAGAATTGAAAATAGACATCTATTACAATTAGGAGTCTTTGCAAGGGTTGAACATATAACAGGGAAGAAAAGTCTATTTTTAAAAGTGAGGAATGTGTGAGAAAATGTCTGTTCCTGACCAATGTTTAACCTGTTTTACTGGTCTGAAGAAGCAAGAAATTCCTGAAACAGATTTGTGCCAACTGAATTTTTTTATGCTGAATAGATGAAATGTGCAACATGAATTCATCAGGAAAATTTGTTTGATGGAGTTGCTCTGCTTTGGTGTGAAAAGAAGAAGATGTCATCACTATTTATCTTGAAAGGAACCGCACCCATCTCATGAAACTAGGGCATATATTTCCAGTAGACAGTAAAACTACTGACCTTGATGGCAGTACACTTTTATTAATAGGATTTCTAACCTAGCAATTGAGAGATTTGACAGTTTAAATGGGATCTTGCAACCATTCGTATTTCTTTCACAATACAGTTTTCTGCATTCGAGTTTGGTTTGGATAGATAGTCTATTAAACAGCCACTTATCTAAATCTTATCTAAGGGAAAGAAAGAAGATACAAGAATATGTGACTTTGAATGACAGAATATTTTCTAAAAGAAAGCTGAATGAGAACCATTCTCACCAAAGGAGCAATTGATTCCAACAAAGACTTGTTGAGCGTGTCCTTTGTCAAGTCTGCCAATTATTGTGACATGTACGGTATTACACTCTGATTCCTAAGTTAGTTATGGAACTATAAGAGAAAAAAGTGGCACTGTATAAATATGTATATGTGTAGAAAAATAAAGCACCACATTCTGTATACAGTGTAAATAGAGTGTACATCAGGACTGGCAGTTTACACAAAATAAACCTTTCACATCATGGGTATTATAACTCACTCACACCTGCAGCACTCCTGTATATTGTGGTTAGTGCCAATTGACGTTTATTTTCTGTTAACTTTCTATATCTATAAGAACACATGAAATGACAAATGGTCATGTCATTGCCTGGACAGATCATATATACTTATCTTATTATTGCCACTGTTTCCATTGCCTGGTTTGCAAAGAATGAGTTCCTTGGTTGGAACTCTACCTCTCTGCCTCCACCCTGAGCTCCAGGACTACTTGCGTCCTGACTGACTGCCTGTCTTGACATCAAGTCCTGGACGAGGGACAACTTTCTTCAACTCAACATCATCAAGACTGAGGCACTCCTGATTGGCTCGCAGCAGCGCCCCCGCACCTCAGGCGTTGGCAGCATCAGGTTCCACGGCTGCACACTCAACCTCACTAAGCCAGTCAGGAACCTGGTTATCTTGTTTGACCCTGAACTGTCCTTTCTCCCCCACATCCAACGCCATGACCAGCACTGCCTACCACCACCTCCACAACATTGCCAGACTCCGCCACTGCCTCACCCCTCGGGCTGCCGAAACCCTCACCCACGCATTCGTCACATCAAGGCTCGATTACGGGAACTCCCTCCTCATTGGCCTTCCCACCTCTTCCCTTCACAAACTGCAGATCATCCAAAACTCTGCAGCTCGTGTACTCTCACACACCAGGCTCCGTGACCCCATCACTCCCACCCTCGCCTGACTCCACTGGCTCCCCATCCGCCAGAGGATCGAGTTCAAGATCCTCGTCCTCACCTTTAAGGCCATTCATGGCCTTGTCCCCTCCTACCTCTCTGACCTGTCGACTCCCTACCAACCTGCCCGCTCATTGGGCTCAGGCCTGCTCCATGTCTCCCACCCAACACCCCCTACCATCGATGGCCGGGCTTTCAGCCTCTCTGCCCCCACACTCTGGAACTCCATCCCACGGTCCCTTCGCCTCGCTTCCTCCCTTGCCTCCTTCAAGGCCGGTCTCAAGACCCTTCTCTTCGACCGTGCCTTTGGTCTCCCTCCTACCTTTCTGCCTTCCCTCACCCCAACACCACCCCTCCCCCATGCTCGGGCCCCGACAGCTGACTGTTCAGCGCTTTGGGACGTCCTCCCGACGTGAAAGGCGCTCCATAAATGTAATTTTGTTGTTGTTGTTGTAAAGGTCAATTGCAAAGGATTGTGAAGTCATTTCATGACAGACACCAGGCATGGATTCTTCTGGAAGGATGAGATGGAATGGGCCGACGATACCTTCTTCATCCAAATGGATCTAGTGACCCAAGAGCGATTGAGCCAATGGCAACAGATTTACATTGATGCAGCAGCGCCTTTCACGCCGTAAGGGGACGGGTATCCCAAGACACTGGACAGTTCCAGGCTTGGCACCTGAGCTGGGTATACGGGAGGTGGGAGGGGAGAGGGGAGAGGGAGGGCATGGGTGGCCTTTGATCAAAGGTGCGGCCAAAGAGGAAGGTCTTCAGGCATTGCCAGGGCAAAGCGTAGTGACTCTCCTGTCGTGTATGTGTGGTGTGGGTGGGGTGTAGTACTTGAGGCGTTGCCGGGGCAAAGCGTAGTGACTCTCCTGTCGTGTATGTGTGGACAGGGGGTGGTGGGGGAGCTGTAGTTCTTGAGGCGTTGCCAGGGTGTAGTGACTCTCTTGTAGTGTATGTGGGTGTGTGTATGTGAGGATGGGGGGGGGGTGGAGGACGGGAACCAACTACAACGCCCAGAATGCCCCGCGGGCGGCAGGCGGCGGCGGTTGGTGCGAGAGCGAGGCGCTCCCACAATCCCTGGCGGCGGCGGCGGCGGTTGGGAGGGAGGGAGGGAGGGAGGGGGAGGGGCGTGTGTGTGTGTGTGGGGGGGAGGGGGGAGGTCCTCGGGCAGCGCGAGCAATGCAGAAAGATGTAAGATGGCAGAGCTGCAGATGTTACTCGAGGAGGAGATCCCCGCCGGCAAGAAGGCGTTGATAGAGAGTTACCAGAACCTCGGCCGCGTCGCCGATTACTGCGAGAGCAACTACGTCCAGGTGCGGCAGCGGTGTGTGAGGGAGAGAGAGAGTGAGTGTGTGAGTGAGAGAGAGAGTGGGAGTGAGTGAGAGAGAGAGAGAGAGAGAGACGGCGACGGCGGTTTTTGTTTGAGCGGCGCAGCCCAGTCCCGGCCCTCCTGCCCGGCCCCGGGTGGTGTGTCTGACTCCCGCTCTCTCTCTCTCTCTCTCTCTCTGCTCTGCGGGATGAGGACTGAGGAGAGAGAGAGAAAGAAAGAGAGAAAAAAAGAAAACTGAGCGATGAGGCGGGCGGACAGACAGGCGGGACCCCCTGACTCACAGTCCCTCAGCTCCCTGCCCTGCCTTCGCTCACCTTTGCCCGGCCCTGCCCTGCCCGGCCCGCCCCCCCCCCCTCGCCTGACTTATCTTAATTGATTTTAGTTTTTTTATTTTAAAAAAAATAATATTTTTTTACCTGAGGTGGTGGGTTGGGGGAACTGTGGGGGGAAAAAGCCTCTACACACGGCGCTGTCCTGTCCCCTCTCTCCCGGTGCGCGCGCGCGCGCGGGTTTTTTTTTAATGTATAAAAATGTCATTTTAATTTTGAGATATATATATATATATGTGTGTGTGTGTTTGTGTGTGTGTATAAAAAGCAAAGTAGGGATTCCCAGTCCCACGGTCGCTGTTTTCTCACTCCTTCGAGGGGTTGGGGTATGAGGGGCGGTGGGGGGGGGGCAGTGGGGGCTGGTCTGGCCGGAGGGGCTTTTTCTGTACATGTTGTTGGTAAATGTTTTTTTTGGTGGGGTGGGGGAGAGGGGGAGAGGGTGGGGGTATATTGGCCGGAAAGGGTGTGTGTTCTGTGCGTTTCTTTTCCCGTCGGGGGCTCTGCCGCGGTTTCCAACAGTTTTCTCTCGCTGCTTTTCTTACTCTTTTTCAACTGTGTGAGTGAGTCTGTGAATGAGTCCGTGTGTCTGTGAGTGTGAGTGAGTGTCTGTGAGTGTGAGTGAGTGTCTGTGAGTGTGAGTGAGTGTCTGTGAGTGTGAGTGAGTGTCTGTGAGTGTGAGTGAGTGTCTGTGAGTGTGAGTGAGTGTCTGTGAGTGTGAGTGAGTGTCTGTGAGTGTGAGTGAGTGTCTGTGAGTGTGAGTGAGTGTGAGTGAGTGTCTGTGAGTGTGTGAGTGAGTGTCTGTGAGAGTCTGTGAGTCTGTGAGAGTCTGTGAGTCTGTGAGAGTCTGTGAGTGTGTGTGAGTCTGTGAGTGTGTGTGAGTCTGTGAGTGTGTGTGAGTCTGTGAGTGTGTGTGAGTCTGTGAGTGTGTGTGAGTCTGTGAGTGTGTGTGAGTCTGTGAGTCTGTGTGTGAGTCTGTGTGTGAGTGTGTGTGAGTCTGTGTGTGAGTGTGTGTGAGTCTGTGTGTGAGTGTGTGTGAGTCTGTGAGTGAGTGTGTGTGAGTCTGTGTGTGAGTGTGTGTGAGTCTGTGAGTGAGTGTGTGTGAGTCTGTGTGTGAGTGTGTGTGAGTCTGTGAGTGAGTGTGTGTGAGTCTGTGAGTGAGTGTGTGTGAGTCTGTGAGTGAGTGTGTGTGAGTCTGTGAGTGAGTGTGTGTGAGTCTGTGAGTGAGTGTGTGTGAGTCTGTGAGTGAGTCTGTGAGTGAGTCTGTGAGTGAGTGTGTGTGTGAGTCTGTGAGTGAGTCTGTGAGTGAGTCTGTGAGTGAGTCTGTGTGTGAGTCTGTGAGTGAGTGTGTGTGTGAGTCTGTGAGTGAGTGTGTGTGTGAGTCTGTGAGTGAGTGTGTGTGTGAGTCTGTGAGTGAGTGTGTGTGTGAGTCTGTGAGTGAGTGTGTGTGAGTCTGTGAGTGAGTGTGTGTGAGTCTGTGAGTGAGTGTGTGTGTGAGTCTGTGAGTGAGTGTGTGTGTGAGTCTGTGAGTGAGTGTGTGTGTGAGAGTCTGTGAGTGAGTGTGTGTGTGAGAGTCTGTGAGTGAGTGTGTGTGTGTGAGTCTGTGAGTGAGTGTGTGTGTGTGAGTCTGTGAGTGAGTGTGTGTGTGTGAGTCTGTGAGTGAGTGTGTGTGTGTGAGTCTGTGAGTGAGTGTGTGTGTGTGAGTCTGTGAGTGAGTGTGTGTGTGTGAGTCTGTGAGTGAGTGTGTGTGTGTGAGTCTGTGAGTGAGTGTGTGTGTGTGAGTCTGTGAGTGAGTGTGTGTGTGTGAGTCTGTGAGTGAGTGTGTGTGTGTGAGTCTGTGAGTGAGTGTGTGTGTGTGAGTGTGTGAGTCAGTGTGTGTGTGTGAGTTTGTGAGTGAGTGGTGTGTGAGTGTGTGAGTGAGTGTGTGAGTTTGTGAGTGAGTGTGTGAGTCTTTGTGACTGAGTGTGTGAGTGAGTGAGTGAGTGTGTGAGTGTGTGAGTGAGTGTGTGAGTGTGTGAGTGAGTGTGTGAGTGTGTGAGTGAGTGTGTGAGTCTGTGAGTGAGTGTGTGAGTCTGTGAGTGAGTGTGTGAGTCTGTGAGTGAGTGTGTGTGTGTGAGTCTGTGAGTGAGTGTGTGTGTGTGAGTCTGTGAGTGAGTGTGTGTGTGTGAGTCTGTGAGTGAGTGTGTGTGTGTGAGTCTGTGAGTGAGTGTGTGTGTGTGAGTCTGTGAGTGAGTCTGTGTGGTGGTCTGTGTGAGAGTCTGTGTGTGAGTCTGTGTGTGAGTGTGTGTGTGAGTCTGTGACTGAGTGTCTGTGACTGAGTGTCTGTGACTGAGTGTCTGTGACTGAGTGTCTGTGTGAGTGTCTGTGACTGAGTGTCTGTGACTGAGTGTCTGTCAGTGAGTGTCTGTGTGAGTGTCTGTGAGTGAGTGTCTGTGTGTGTGTCTGTGAGTGAGTGTCTGTGTGTGTGTCTGTGAGTGAGTGTCTGTGTGTGAGTCTGTGAGTGAGTGTCTGTGTGTGTGTCTGTGAGTGAGTGTGTGTGTGTGTGTGTGAGTCTGTGAGTGAGTGTGTGTGTGTGTGTGTGTGAGTGAGTGTGTGTGTGTGTGTGTGAGTCTGTGAGTGTGAAGCGAGAGAAATATCCCACATCTGAAAAATTCCCCCCTCTTCATTTCAAAATATCTGGAGGTCTGTTATTAAACCGTTTTCACTTGTTATCCTCTTGTAAGTCCTTCCACTTTTAAGCACTATTTATGTGTATATATATATATATATGTGTGTCTGTTATATATATATATATATATATGTGTGTCTGTTATATATATATATATATGTGTGTGTCTGTTATATATATATATGTGTGTGTGGTTAATCCTGATGCATTTGTTTGTTTGTTAGTTGTAAGAACACGTTTATTTTTTGCTTTTTAAAAAAATGAATAAATATAGGGTTTTTTTCCAAAAAAATCTTCGGGTGAATTTCAGGTGTTTGCCTGCCTTAGGTGTGGATTAGAAACCGAATCGTAGAAGCTTTCAGGGTGAGATACTTTACTGATAGAGGAAAAACTGTACTCTTTATTGGGCTTGGGCAAAAGTCAGAGAGGTGGGGTGGAGGGGAAATAAAAAGCGATCGTCTCCAGATCTAGCTTCCTGTAAAACGTAATGGTTGTTATATCTTGTTCAGGCTCGGGTTTTCCCGATCCCGCCCTCTCCGTAAACAGTTTTTCCTGTCTTCCCTATTTTCCAAAGTGAAATCTGGAGGAATGTGGGTGTTGGAGCTGAGCTCCCTGTTTTGGCAGTTGCTCGTGATTTAGCACCACTCGGAACTCGCCAGTAACCGGGTGAGATTTGCTGACTCCACCCGGGGAGCAGGTCCGACACATCGAATACATTGGGAAAAAGCCCTTGTAACGTTTGTCTTTTCATCTGACCGAAGTTGACAGTTTTAATTCGGGCTAGGAAGACCCTTTGCAGAAATCAGCCCCATTTCTATAGTAGTCTGATGTTGCGCAATTTACCCCAAAAAAGTTGGCAAACACCTTTCTTGTGACATTTCTAAGTACAGTATTTGGAACTTTCTAAGCATTGCATCTCTTAAGCATGTGTCAGCCTGGCTCGGTTGGTAGCACTCCCTCTCACTTCTGTAATCAGAAGGTTGTTGGTTCAAGCCCGTGTCAGGACTTGGAACTCAGTTTAAGTGGGCGCTCCATTTCAATGCTGGGGGTGCGCTGCATTGTTGGAGGTACTGTCTTTCAGATGAGATAACAACAACTTGCATTTATATAATACCCCTTATGCAGGGTAGTGTCCTAGAGCATGTGACAGTATCGGGGACCATGACACTGAGCCAGAGTGGTGGGGAGGATGATAATAGGTGTGGTCGAACAGGAAGGTCTTCAGGCGAGACCTGAAGACCGGGAAGGAGGGGGAGAGGAAGAGTTTTTTCGGGGCCTAGTAGCTGAAAGTGTGTCCACCAATGGTGGAACAGAGGGCATGAAGGACAGGTAGAAAAAGGATTTAATGTTCTAACCTATCACCGAGCGGATCAACTTCAAGATCTTCACACTCTTCTTCAAATCCCTTTATACCCAGCTAGTTGAGCAGAGGCAGTGGTTTGGGGAGTGCCAGGGTATAAAGGGATTTGAAGAAGAGTGTGAAGATCTTGAATTTTATCTGCTCGGAGATAGGGAGCCTGGTTAGAACATTAAATCGTGGCTCCATTCTGTCTGTTCATGTGGGTTGGAGATCCCAGGGCACTACTTGAAAAGAGAGGAGTTTCTTCTGGTATCCTGGCCAACGATCTCCAAAATAAAATTGGTCGTTCACTCTATTGCTGTTTGTGGGACATTGCTATGTGCGAACTGACTGATGAGTTTGTCCACTTCAATCACTTCACTTTACAATATATCCTGGGAAGCACTTTGGGACGTTGTCCTGATGTGAAAGGTGCCATACTAAATGCAAGGATTACTATTGTGTTTTAATAACTTTTTTTAGGGATTTTTTTCTTCTGATCCAGAACTTTTATTATAGTGCTCAAGGAACTGAAATTTAACCATCTTTATTTGTATAATATCACAACTGGTGTTGATCGAAATTAAAGTATTGAAACGTTGCATTTGAATTCTTGTGTAATTCTTTGTAACCAAGTGAATGTTTACCCA